CATTTGTGGGTACAATGCCACTGTTACTTTCTTATCTCCTTCTGTTTGCTAACTCTCATAGCGTTCTTATGGAAAAACAGCAGTCCTTTAAGACTGTCTTAAAACCTTATTTTAAATGTATTTGAACCCTGGCACTTCAGTATCAGTACTTGCGATAGTTGTTACTTATGGTTGATGTGGAATGTCTGACGACTACTCTCCCCTCTTCTGGGCAGCTGTCCTACCTGCTCTGCCCTGTCACGTTGTACTCTGGTCTGTTCCATTCCTGTGGCTCCCACCACTGCCTGTTATCAGAGCAGCTTCCTCTGCCTAAGAGTGTTCACGCTTCAGTGCAGGCCTCCTCCTTCTGACTGCAAGCGTTGCCTGATACCGCCCTCTCCCCATCCAGGTTTCCTACTCAAGGGGTCTTGGCCCGTACCTTGCTTTCATACCATTTATCTCACTTTTGAAAGTGGTAACTTACTTGCGTGATTATTTAAATAACCTACATTATTTCCTAATAGACTGCAAACCTCCTGCCTGTCGGAACAGTGTGCCTGACGTGTTAAGGGCGAAACAAATCTGTGCTATCTAAATGGATAGCTGTGGTATCGTTTACTGTCCAGTGATGAGTCTGCACTGTAACCTGACATAAATGGGACTTTGTTAGTAAGTTACAAAAGCCATCTTGCAGGATGGCAGTCTTCTCACTGCAGGCCTTTTTCCAGCTCCATTTTCTGTTGTACCTGTTCTCCCTCCCATCATCCCATCACCTCTCTCTTCTAGTGTGCTCACCAGCCTTCTTTTAGACTTCTCCCGTGAGTAAGCAAACAAAGGAGGAGGCAAAAAAGGTGATGCTAGCCATGTGCTCTGTAAATAGTACTACATCATTACGGTTTTCTTTTTTTTTTTTTTTGTCTTAACAGGATACAAACTGGCATTTAATTACTTAAAAGCAAAAAGATATGTGGATGCCATTGACATATGTCACCAGGTAACACTTCAATTTAGATATCTTAAAACTTTTCAGCTGCACGATTTCCTACTTTTAGTTCATCTCAAGATGTACATGAATAGAGGTAGAGAATGTTGTGTTTTGGTTAAATGACTCATCACATACATCTGAGAGAGATTACCACCTTTCCAAGTTTAGAAAATGATCAAGTTTCCTTGAACATGTTTTTAATTGGGGCTCCAATAATAAAATGTTTCTATCAAGTGAAAGAGGCTAGAGGAGAAGCATGTGAAATAAAACTACTGATTCTCCAAGCCATTGTTCTGAATGAAGTTCTTGTGAATGTGTCCAAGTCTGGTTAGTAGAGAATTCAGATTTATAAATTAGAGATAAGAGGTATTTCTGTTATTTAGAAGTCATTCGATTACATTTCTGTAATTGATCCCTAACTAAACGATCCCTTACTAAAATGACAAATACTTAAGTTACACTTCTAGAATTTGCAGCTTCTTTATATATACATTGTTTTGTTTTGTTTTGTTTTTTAAAGATTTTATTTATTTGACAGAGAGACACAGTGAGAGAGGGAACACAAGCAGGGGGAGTGGGAGAGGGAGAAGCAGGCTTCCTGCAGAGCAGGGAGCCTGACGCGGGGCTCGATCCCAGGACCCTGGGATCATGACCTGAGCCGAAGGCAGACGCTTAAGGACTGAGCCACCCAGGCGCCCCTAGAATTGGCAGCTTCTTTATATATACATTGTCTCGCTGATATATAAGGCATTGCCCCATTGTTCCAGATAAGGCATTATATTCAACATGGTTAGGAGCTCCAAGAAAAGCGCCTTAGAAAAGAATTATGTAATGTCTCCTACCCCAGATCGCTGTCTCAGCATCATTATAGCAAATACGTGGCTTCAGTGATTGCTATTGATTACTGAACTCTGCAAGGCAGTATTTCACATTAAGGTTAAGGTTGTGCATTAATGTAAGTTATACATTAGAATCATTTGTGGAATTCTTTTAAAAATGACTATCTCCCCACTCCTAGACTCAGTAGACCTGGAAATTTATATGTTTCAAAATCCCTCCAGGTAAATCTGATGTGTGCTCCTGGTCAAAAATAACTCTGTAAGGGTTTTTTAAATATCATGTGAATAGCCTAAATTTTCTAAATACTTAAAATCATTGATACATACTTGTTTTTTTGCAACTGATCTATTAAGGAAGTAAGTATATTTGTTGTATTTCCCACATGTATTTGTATTCTATTGTTGTCATCTAATTACTATTACTATGAGTTATGTCACATTTCAGCTGTCACCTTTGAGAAGGGTTGTTATATTTGTAGTATTAATACAATGAAATCTCAACTGTAATGCTCATTTCCAGCAAGTTTTGTAGCTCTCCAGTTCTCAGTAATCATTTACAAGTTCTCGTGCTTTAGTTTTGTTTTTTGTTTTTTTGTTTTTGCAGGTTCTTGAAGCTCATCCAACTTATCCAAAAATCAGGAAGGATATACTTGATAAGGCCCGTATATCTTTGAGGCCTTGAAAGGTAGTTTAATTTAGTTTGTTGGTTATGCAGGAAATGACAGGTCTCAGTTCTTATAGTTCAGAATAGGTTTGAGCTAAAACTTTGTAACAGAAGCATACTTTTCTTTCTCCAGCAGAGGCTGCTATTGTATATAAAGAGAAATGCTATGTCAAATGGCTGGGTTTCTGATGGAGAAGGTCAGTGGGAGCTGGTTTATTTGATTGACTTTCTTGATTAGGAGCAGATTTGGTGTCTCTGTGGTAAAGATTATAACCCATTTCTATAAAGAATATTTTGTTAAATACGAGGTAATTAAGTATCCTATATCTTTTCTAAGGAATATTAGTTGTTTATTTCAGGAAATACATTCAAAATGCTTTTGTTCTTTGTTAAAATTTTTTGTAACATTCTCTGTTGTTTGAAAGGTTTGAGAAAATGTTCTTGTAAATAATGTATGAAAAGAAAAAGTATATTTTAATAAAAACTTTATAAATGTATGGTTTGTATTGCTGTTGGAACTCAAAAGACGTGGTAAGTTTTGCAAAATCAGGGTAAGCCCCCTAAACAATTTGCACTGTTAATGAGTAGTTGGAATATGTGACATTCCTAGAAAACTCTTTTTGGAAAAGTGTAAAGAATGGGAGCTTCCATTCCCTTTGTTGAACTCATTCTTTCTGCTTTCGATGCCAATGTGATCTTAAGAAATAATCTGGATGTGAAATCAGTTGAAATAGGTAAACTCTCAGAGCAATAATTCACCTTAGCCCGAAGACTAGATCTCTTGATGGCACTTGAGACACGGTAACATCTGGCCGGGAAGGGCGACAGGACAGTTTTGGTCAGCAGGGACTCCCAGGCACACCCTGTGAAAACAGCTGCTTCCCTTACCGTGCCTGCCACCTTCTGGCATAGCGGCTCTCAGCCTCTCAGGTTAAATTTAACCTAATCTTAATCAACTCAGTGTTCAGCATTATTTCTGACTTGTTGTCTACATCTTTTTCAGTTGTCTTTAAGAATACCATAAATAGGGTCTACTCTTTCATTTGCATTTCCAATAAATACAGAGTATTTTTAAGTCGCTTGTTGCTTGTAAGTGTCCTATGTTTATTTTTTTTGAGCTATATTCTCTTGTTTTTGACTACTTCTGCAATTTTCCAAAGTCCTTCTAATTCCAGTTATACGTCATAAAATTCTCATCATTCTTCTTTTTCACCTACCTTATTTATGGCATTTCATGAAAATATTTAAGAGCATTTTTGAAGCATTTCATATCTGTTAGAACACTTTCATGTGTCTTATTACAGTTGATCACCAGAACCCTAGAATGTGTGATTCTGGAACTGCGGCAGATTAGCTCTTTCTTTGTAATTCAGCCTGAATGGACGTTGTTAAGGATATTATATAACAGAGTACCTTAAGTAGTTCCAGTGAATTTGCATCATGGAATGCTAGAGTCCTGGAAATTGGATAGAGAAAGTAGAACATCTCTTCTCCCAGTAAGACACTTCCAGATCAGTCTTCCTATCTGTAAAATGGGGAGTTTGTTTTTGTTTCTTTAGCAACCACTTAATATTTTGCACCTGCCATTTGTGAGGTACTATTCTAAGAACTTTACTTACATTATGTCTTCTAATTCACACTCAGCTTCCCAGAGAAATAATACTCTTATTTTTCAGATGAGGAGGATGGCGTTTCAAACTAAATGATTTGCCCAAGGTCACAGAAAAAGTGTCAGAATCTGGATGCCATACTGACCCAGACAACTTCAAAGCTCACGCCCTGTTTCCTATATTAGGACATTTTGCATCAGTAAGAGGGATTGTGTCTATAGGAAAAAATTCTCTTGTCTACATCTGGCCAGCAGAAGAAACCAAGTGTTCTATCACAGAGCTAGTCAAGTAATGAGGAACAAGATGAACTGAGTGGAGTGAACAGTTCTTACAAACGTGAAATTACCGAAAGGAAGTCTAGCTGAGGAGTAGTGTAGTGCAGCAGTTAAGTACATGGATTTGAAATCAGACCAGCCTGGGTTTCAGCTGGGTTCTACCACTTACTAGGTGTTTAATCTTGCTCAAGTTATGTAGGTTCTCTGAGCTTCTGTTTTCTCATCCATAAAGAAGCGTATAAGGATAATCTGCCTCAGGTCGTTGTGAGGATTAAATGAGAAAACGTACATAAAACGTGTAATGAACCTGACTCACTTAGGCTCTTAATGAACAGTGGCTCTACTTATTTCTTATGAGTGGAACAGGGCCAAGTAGTAACTGCAACTGAGAAAAACCTTCACAGAAGAAAAAAATGAAGTCCAAGGTGAGATAAAAAGGACAAGTGAGTTCCCCAAGACCGCTCAGCTGAACGGGATTCAGGGTTCTCATTCATGCTCGCCCTCCTCCCCACCCTACTCCTTCTTTTTTCCCCTCTGTCCTCTCCCCTCCCCACACCAAACACTGTGCTGTACTCTTTACATGCATAATCTCTTTTCATCCATCTCTGCCTTTGCTCTAGCCTCCTCTAACCTGGGGTCCTCTCCCCGCTCTCCTCTCCCTTACCCTGCTTCCTGTCTCCGAGCTTCCTGCTCTAGGCTTATTCTTTCTTTCTTTCAGGTGTCAGTTTATTGTCACCTCATCAGAGGCCATGTCCACGTCCGGGCCCACAGTCTAAAGTAGCCATCCTGTCATGCTGTATCTTATCACCCTTTTTATTTTTTTTTTTTGCTTTTTTTTTTATTCTTATGTTAATCCCCATACATTACATCATTAGTTTTAGATGAAGTGTTCCATGATTCATTGTTTGTGCATAACACCCAGTGCTCCATGCAGAATGTGCCCTCCTCAATACCCACCACCAGGCTAACCCATCCTCCCACCCCCCTCCCCTCTAGAACCCTGTTTGTTTTTCAGAGACAAATGGTGCAATATATGTTAAGAAAAAAAAAAGAAGAAGAAGGTAGCGGGAGGGGAAGAATGAAGCGGGGGAAATCGGAGGGGTAGACGAACCATGAGAGACGATGGACTCTTATCACCCTTTTTAAACTGTTGAGCGCTTAACCAGTCTCTGATGTCTTCTTGTTCACTGAGGCGTGGTTTATGACCAGGCCTTAGGTGACATACCCAAGATCACATATCGAGGAAAGCGGGAACTCAAACTGCTAGTTGAAGGAATCAGGTGAAATGAGAGTTTGGGGGCTGCGCTAAGGACAGAGAGCTGAGGAGCACAACATGAAAGAATCTTCTATCAACCTCGGATCAGAATACCATCCCCTCATGGTGAGGAAGCAGTTACAAGTTTAATGCACTTTGACCTTAAGCCAGCTAGTATGAACTGGGTCCCAAGAAGAAATAGCTTTCTTCCCTAGAAGTCAAGAACCTAGAGCAGTTCTGGAAGGGTTGTCCTCATGCACAGCTGAGGAAGCTACGTTGAACCTTGCATTAGGGTACATCTAGTCCCTACTAGAGTAGTAGAGTCGCTGTGGAAACCAAATGACCAATTAAGACTGACAGAAACTTGTAGTTTGGGACTGGAGACAAGCGACTAGCCTTATAATAGGATTATATAGCACTGCTAGCACTGATGAAGTAATACATGAAGGACTGGCAAAGGTGCAGGGAAGCTAACACGTTCATATTCTGCTGGCACAGTGTAGTCAGCCTTCCTGAAGGGCATTCGGCAGCATGAATTAAGAGCTTGTCCTTTGAGTAATCGCACTTAGAAAAGTTTTTCATGGGAGATATTCAGAAATTTCTCAAAATTTTCCAGTTAAAAAAAAACAAACAGAAAGCTTATTTTTTGTTTTTTGGGTTTGTTGTTGTTGTTGTTGTTGTTACCAAAACACTCAACATAAAGGAAGTGGTCAAATATATTAAAGTTTACCCAATAATGGAATACTATGTAGTCATCAAAACTATTTTCAAAGATGTTTTTATGTGTTTTTTAAAACTTCTCAAAGATTTTTAACTGCTAAAGTTCTCACAAAATAATAAGCAAAATAGCAGGAAACATAACTCCATATAAAATATTAACTTGGAAAAAAATAGATGCATGGATATAAATACATACAAAACCAGAGGAAACTAACCCAATTTTGGGGAGGCGCTTGGGTGGCTCAGTCAGTTAAGCGTCTGCCTTCGGCTCAGGTCATCATCCCAGGGTCCTGAGATCGAGCCCGACGTCAGGCTCCCTGCTTAGCGGGGACTCTGCTTCTCCGAACTCTCCCTCCACCCCCCCACCTGCCCGACTCATGCTCTCTCTCAAATAAATAAATCTTTTTTTTTTTTAAAGAAATTAACCCAAATTTTAACTCATTATATCTGAGTGCTGAAATAATCAGAAATGTATTTATTTTACAAGTTAGCTGCAATGAACATATACACTAAAAAAATTTGTGGTTTTTTTTTTAGAGAATAACGTTCTCAAACTTGCTTCTTGCTGACTGTTTAAAGTTCTTTAGCTGAGCAAAGATGAGTAGGAAAAACTAAACAAAAGCTAACATTCTTTCAACTCTTAACACCCACACTTTACTACTAATTGTTTATGCAGAATGTAATCTGGTTTATTTCACTTGTCAGAGGAAAAGATTCAGGATGTAGAAGATAAAAAAAGACTGCGGGAAATGTTAACAGGGGTGGTAATAGCCATGATAATAGGAGAACATGGGATTACTAAAGAGGCTAGAAGTTTCTCTCGTCAAAATGGGTAAAGAGCACAGTCTCGCAAGTGCAGAAAAATTGAGAGCAAAGCCAGTTCTCTGCAGTTTTAGCTCATATTCTAAAAAAGTTCTAGTGATGATCCTACCAAATTTAATAAGAAGCCAGTGGAAATAACTGAACTCACACAGGGCCACAAAGTGTGGTGGTTCAGTTTTGTGTCCTGAACCTCCCCCCCCCCTTGGAGGAAGAGGGCCCCCTCTTCTAATCTGAACAAAGATTCCTTGTAGGTTAGTAACAGCCCTGTGAATGGAAGGTGAGGAGTTACAGACAGCAGACAGCCTAGGAAATGTTCAGATACAGAGCTGAGGGTAAGGGCTTGGGGGGCATGCCGGCTGCAGAGCCCTGTGACGTGACCAGTGTCTTGCTTCGTTTTTCTGGTTTCTAAGATAGGAGCTACTTGAGCATCTTGGAATATTTAAAGCCAACAGATATTGAAGGTACAAGAAAGAGAAGAGGGGAAAACTGGAGTAGGAAAAGGGTGAGGGTCCGGGGGCGTTTAGAAGAGTAAGAGTTTGCAGGGATGTGTGATTTTTGTAAGGAGACTATCAGAACCAAAAAACTGCAGAAAAGAGGTCTGACAGATAAAGGTGGCCTCGGGAGCCCTTATGCTAATTGGCTCCAATAATTTTGTAATAAATAAAATGGACTTTGACCTAAATGCAGTACCACTGCTTCATATGCATGGAATTTGGGGGCCTCTGTTTTCCTTGGGCTCTGAAGTATTTTTCACTTACTTCCAGGTTCCTGGTGGTGGTTGCTGGAAGTCTGCCTGCCAGATTAGAGGGGGGTTA